CACACACACACACACACACACACACACACACACACACACACACATTCTTTAGGGTAGTAGTTAACCCTAACGTTATGGAAGATCCTATAAGCGGTCCGTCAATGATTGCAAGCTGACACGTGACCTTGACCCTGAGCCGACCCCGTGATGACGTTTCTTGCTGCAGGATAGGCCGACGTAACGTGCACCTAGCGTCCATCGTCGGCGTGCTCATCAGCGGCGTGACGTCAGCATTCATGCCGGAATACATCACGTATGCGGTGGTCCGCTTCATCCTCGGCATGTTCGTGTCTGGAGTCTGGCTCTCAATGATAGTTATGAGTAAGGATGATGGGATGCTCTCTCTCTCTCTCTCTCTCTCTTTCTCTCTCCGATACTAGTCTCGCTCTCTCCCTCTCTCTGTCTCTCCTCTCCCATCTCTCGGCCTCTCTCCTCTCTCGTCTCTCTCTTCGCTTTCTCTTCCTCTCTCTTCTCAACTGCTCTCATTCTCTCTCTCTCTCTCTCTCCTCTTTCTCTTTCTCTCTCCCCATCACACACACACAACACACACACACACAACACACACACACACACACACAATTCCTATCTCCCTCGCTCTCTACAACTCTTTCTTTCTCCCATCCACAGCTATGGAGATGCTAGGACCTAAGCACGCACGCCAGGCGGAATACAGATGCAGTCTTTCTTCGCTATTGGCGTTCATGCTGGATGGTCTGCTGGCCTTCCTCATCCGCGACTAATATGGTTTGGGAGCTTAGCCATCACTCTACCTGCGGTGTGTTTCTTCTTAACCTACTACTGCGGTAGTACGTGGCTAACCTGGGTCGGAGGTGAGGGGGAGGGAAGGGAGGGAGACGGAAGGGGAGGGGGAGGGGAGAGGGAGGAGGGGGAGGGGATGGGGAGGGGATGGAGGGGAGTCGGAAGGGGGAGGTAAGCGCGACGTATATATGGATTGGAGCTTGCCATCACTCTGCCTGGTGTGTTCTTCTTTACTACTACTTGGTACGTACGTGGCGAAACCTGGGTGAGGCGCGGGGAGGCGAGGAGAGGGGAGCAGAGGGGAGGGAGGGGCGGTGAGGGGAAGGAGGGTAAGGGGGGCGAGGGGAAGGGGAGGGGAGGGGAAGTGGATCGTTAAGGTGACTACAATGGTTGTGGAGCGAGAGGAGAGGCGGTGAGGTAGGGAGATGAAGAGGAGGTGAGGGTAGGAAAGGAAGTGACGAGATACTAAGAAAGCTACTCCTCTCTACTGCTCATCTACTGACTTACTGCCTACTACTACTGCTGTTACTACTACTACTGCTACTACTACTGCTGCTATATAGCTACTAGCTGATACTCCATTACTGCTACTGCCTACTGGCTGCTACTGCCTGCCTTGCTGCTGCTGCTACTGCTGCTGCTATTACTACTACTACTACTTGATTGCTACTACTTCTACTGTCCTACTACTCTAACTGCTGCTCTATGCTACTGCTTACTGCCTACTACTACTGCTGCTGCTGGCTACTACACTGCTTCTGCTGCTGCTGTTGCTGGTGCTGCTGCTGCTGCTGCTGGCTGTTGCTAAGTATTAATGTTCACCAGGTATACCGGAGTCTGTCGGCTGGCTGGTGTCTAAGTGAGAGCGTACGAAGAAGCTGAAGGTCACCTTCGTCACGCCGCCACAGGTTCAACAAGAGGTCAAGCTGCCCGATCACGTGTTCACGCCGGTGAGTCGGTAGCCATGGTAACGAACGATGAACGAGAGTAGTTATGATATAATACCATGAACAACAAACAACACAACACAACAACAACAACAAAACAACAACAACAACAAACAAACAACACCACCAACAACAACAACAAACACAACAACAACAAACAACATCACCAACAGCATCACCAACAACCACAACATAACAACAACAATAACAACAACAATAACAACAGACAACAGCAGCAGTAGCAACAACAACAACAACAACAAACAATAACAACAACATTACAACAACAACAACAACAAAACAACAACAACAAACATCTTAACTCAACAATAACAACAAACAACAACATCGCATCATCACCAACAATAACAACAACAATCAACAACAATAACAACCAGACAACAACAACAACAAACGAATAACAACAGACAACGACATCATCATCAGCAAAACAATAACAACAACAATAACAACAATTAAAACCAACAAGACAACAACGTCAGTAGCGAGCAGACAACAACAACAACACAAACAACAACAGCAGCAGTAGCAACAACAACAACAACTAACAACAACAACAACAACAACAAACAACAGGCAAACAACTTGTTATGATTCTTTATCAAATCCTATTACTTACTGTTGTTGTTTCTCGTTATTGGTACGATGACGACGATGACGACGACGATGATGATGATGCATTATTTTGAGTAGAAGGAGAAGCAGAAAGACGAGGAGGGTGGAGAGGAGGAGAGATTTACTCCTATGCGTCACCGACACGGGGCTGGAAATCTATTGAGGTAACGCCAACCTACGTCGCATCGTCCCTCGTCATGTTTCTACAATGGTTGAGTACATATACGACCGTTGCACTACTGGCGTCAAATAGTTTGTAAAGACTCGAGTATAAATGCTACCGTACTATTGATCGTACAATAAACTGGCAAGATGCTACGATCCTGTCTAACACTCACCCTAATCCTTACTTTAACCTCTAACCCCTCACCCTAATCCTTACTTGAACCTTAAACTCACCCTTAATCTTATACTTTAACCTCTAACACTCACCCTAATCTCTTACTTTAACTGTCTTAACACTCACCCTAATTCGCTTACTTTAAACTCGTAACACATTACCCAAATCGCTTACTTTAACCCTAACCCTAACGCTAACAGACTAACACTAACTACTAACCCTCGCCTACTCTAACACTGACTCTCACTTTTAACACTGACACTAACCTCGTGTATTACAGGTTCGTGTCGTCGTTAAGTTATTACGGACTATCGCTAAACACGGCATCGTTGGTGGGCGATGTCTACGTTAACTTTGTACTGTCTGGAGCCGTGGAACTACCCGCTTATATACTGGTGAGATGCTCCCTACATGATATATTAGTGTGATGGTCCCCTATCATATATAAATATATATAAATATATATAAATATATATATATATATATAACTTATATATATGCTAATGAGATGGTCCCTATATATATATTTATTTATTTATTTATATATATATACATTGATTTGATGGTCGCTGAGAATTTACATGTTCTCCCTCATCCTAAGCCTTCTTCTCCTTATTCATGCTAAACCTCCTCCTCCTCCTCCTCCTCCTCCGCTACCATGCTCCAGTCAACCACCACTATACACAATTCATCTGTTTCTCCTCGTTCCTCACCTTCTCTTGCCTTCCTTTTCCTCGCTCTCTACTGCCCTCTCTCTTCTCTTGCTCTTCTTCTTACTTCTACACGCCCGTCGTTACACTTACTCACTGTTGCAGTGTATTCCATCGATGGCGTACTTTGTCGCAAGGTCACCATTGTGAGCGGCGCCATGTTCGGTAGGGCGCTGCCTGCTTGCTCTTCGCGCATTTCTCCCAGGTATTAGTGGCTTCGATGCAGAGATAGATACAAATCTGAATTAGCAAATTATACCTTTCTTTCTTTTTATTTCAACAAAGCATTTATTATATATGTATATATATGTATATTATAATTATATATGATACACTAATCCATATAACACAATATAGACATCTTATAACACAATGTAGCAAATTAATGTGCTATTTTTATTACATATTTATATCATTAATATATTTATTTCTTATTTATTCATGTATAATGTACGGGATGCTTGCCACCCATCCTGTTTGTTGCTATGGTAACGCATTCACGCGCACCACGTTGCAACGATATTCCCGGTTGCTACGACACCTCCCGGTGATACCGCGTTGCTGTGGTTACCCATCTCGTTGTTGCCTAGCGACCGACGGCGTCCATTACCATGGTTACCGTCTCCGTGCGCAGATATCGCCTGGCTGGGAACGACGATAGCTCTGGTTGGGAAGATGTTCATGTCAATCGGACTCGCTGTTGTCTACAATTACTCAGCTGAACTGTTCCCTACTGTGGTCAGGAACACAGGCATAGGCATGGGATCGGCCTGCGCTAGGTTTGGTGGCATTCTATCTCCTTCATAGTATCATGACGTAAGCATGTGTTAGAGGAGGAGGGAGGGAGCGGAGGCGAGGGAAGGGAGGAGGAAGGCAGGGAGGAGGGAGGCGAGCGGAGGGTGAGGAGGAACACAGGCATAGGCATGGATCGGCCTGCGCTAGGTTTGGTAGCATGTCATATCTCCCTTCATAGCTATTATGGTAAGTATGTTATAGAAGAAGAGGGAGGGAGGCGATCGAGCGAGGGAGAGCGAGGAGGAGGGAGGAGGAGGAGGCCGAGGGAGGAACACATGGCCATAGGCATGCGGATCGCCTGCCGCAGGTTTCGGTTGCTCATATCTTCCTTCATAAGCTACTGGTATGGTAAGTATGTACTAGAGGAGAGAGGAGGGAAGGGGGAGGGAGGGAGGAGGAGGGAGGAGGGAGGGAGGAGAGGGAGGGAGGGAGGGAGGGAGGGGGGGAGGAGGAACACCGCATAGGCACATAGGATTCGGCGCTGCCTAGGTTTGGTGCATCACTATCTCCCCTTCATAGCCATCCATGGTAAGTATGTATTAGAGGAGAGGGGAGGGAGCGGAGGGGAGAGGGAGGGGGAGGGAGGGAAGGGGAGAGGAGGGCGAGGGAGGAGGCGAAGGGAGGGGGAGGGAGGCGAGGAAAGGAGGAGGGAGGAGGGAGTTAGAGGAGGAGTGAGGCGAGGGCAAGGAAGAGAGAGTTAGAGTGGAGGAGGGAGGTCAGTTTAAGGGAGAAGCGAGGGGCAGGATATATCGCTCACCATACCTGTACTCTGAATGTGCAATCCGAATCTCTTTGCGTCTTATATAGGAGATATGATTCTATTTCCCAGATGTACATGTCCCTATACATGTCGCGGGCGGCAGGCATGTACATGTTCCTATACCATCGATCGGGGCGGCAGGCATGATCATGTCCTATACATGATCGGGAAGGGCAGGCATGTACATGTCCTATACATGATCGGGCGGCAGCCATGTACATGTCCTATACTATGATCGGGGCGGCAGCATGTACATGTCTTTATAGCAATATCGGGGCCGGCAGGCATGTACTGTCCTATACATGCATCGGGGCGGCAGATTGTACAGTGTCCTATACAGCATCGGGGCGGCAGGCATGTACACTGTCCTATACATGATCGGGGCGGCAGGCTATGACATGTCCGATATACATGAGTCGGGGCGGCAGGCATGTAATGCGCCTATACGATTGATCGGGGGCGCAGGCATGTACATTCATACATGGATCGGGCGGCAGGGCAGTGTACCATGATCCTATGACATGATCGGGGCGGCAGGGCATGTACGGATGTCGGATACATGATCGGGGGCGGCAGGGCATGTACATGTCCTTACAGGGATCGGGGCGGCAGATGCTTTCTAACAGAGGGCGCTGACATCCTACTCGTGTGTGTGTGTCACAGTGGTTGTGATGTGTGTGTGTGTGTGCGTGTGCGTGTGTTGTGTGTGTGTGTGGTGTGTTGTGTGTGTTGTGTGTGTGTTTATTGTAGGATAACACTGTCCCACACCTCTCTATGTACTTGATGGGAACACGTGTGTGTGTCACAGTGTGTGTGTTTGTTTATTGTAGGATAACACTGTCCACCACTCTCTAATGTACTGATGGAACACGTGAATGTGTTCACAGTGTGGTGTGTTTTGTTATTGTAGCGATAACACTGTTCCACACCTCTCCTTTCTGTAACTCTCTATGTACATAATGGGAATTGCGGGTATCATCGCTGGATTTGCTGCTCTGTTGTTACCGGAAACAAAAGGGCAACCGCTACCCGAGACACTGGAAGATGGAGAGAGATTCGGAAAGTAAGTCACAAATACGTCATAGCTACGTCGCAGCTACGTCATAGCTACGTCGCAGCTACGTCACAACTATGTCATAGCTGTGATTGGGGATAGCGGGAGAATAGCTTTAATTTAATTAACCGTAACTATAATATTAATGGCGATAAACGACATATCATAATGACTCTGTTTATGATGTGTTCTTGATATTAGTAATATGCGTGTGTGTATGTGGCGTGTGTGCTGCGCGCGTGTGTGTGTAATAAACCCATGTCAACCATTACCATCGTCCATATTGCCCAACCATGACGGTGCTATTTACGTGCTCCTGATATGACGTCACCGCTCCTGATATGACGTCACCGCTCCTGATATGACGTCACCGCTACTGTTCTTACAGATCTAGACCACGACTTCTGTCCTTCAACAGCACGCCTGCTGAGCAACAGAATGGGACGTCCAGTAACTATGACAACAAGGAAGAGTCTCTAGGTCACGAGAACCCGGCGATGAGCGAGGACGGAGAGGGAGGTGGGAAGAAGCCAGAGATTACTAGGCTGTAGATCCCAGGATCACGACTCCCACTCATCCCAGCCGGGTCTCGCTAACACTCCGAATCGGTCTGGCGATAACGTCACATATCTACCTGTAGATATTATGTTAATATTTATGCATAAATCGGTTGGAGGCACTAGGGTTACAGAGGTCAGCAGTCGACCAATAACACGCACTCTTCCATGGATACTGTTGCTAGGTCGGTCGCGTCCCCCATGGTTACTGTTGCTAGGTCGGTCGCTTCCCCCATGGTTACTGTTGCTAGGTCGGTCGCTTCCCCCATGGTTACTGTTGCTAGGTCGGTCGCATTCCCCATGGTTACTGTTGCTAGGTCGGTAGCTTTCCCCATGGTTACTGTTGCTAGGTCGGTAGCTTTCCCCATGGTTACTGTTGCTAGGTCGGTTGCTTCCCCCATGGTTACTGTTGCTAGGTCGGTTGC